CAAAAAAATAGTGGAACAGGGGGTTTAATTTTTTTCCCCCTTCCCCAAAAAAAATAAAAAAAACCCAAAAAAAAAAAAAAAAAAAAAAAAAAAAGCAAATAACGGCTTGGGGAGGAAACTGGATAAAGCAGTCAGCAGTTTGGTAATATTCCAGATATTTAAAACAAAAAACAAATCAATAATTATTGGAATCCACAAGTATTGATGTCAAATTTGCAGTTTTTGAAACAAAAACTCTCCTGTACTTTTTGCAACTACCTGCAATAAGACCCACAATGATGCTAAGCTAACATGAATACCTTGGTGTCATGATGCTAAGCTAACATGAATACCTTGGCATTATGATATTATTAAGCTAACATGAATACCTTGGTGTCATGATGCTAAGCTAACATGAATACCTTGGCGTCATGATGCTAAGCTAAGATGAATACCTTGGTGTCATGATGCGAAGCTAACATGAATACCTTGGCATTATGATATTATTAAGCTAACATGAATACCTTGGCGTATGCAGCCTCCGTCTCTGCGATGGTGCGGTCCAGGTTGGCCCTGGTGGTCAGTCTTTGCGCCATGCTCTCATTGACCCGGCTCAGCTTCTCAGAGAGAAGCCGGATGTCCTGCTGGAGTCGCTCCTTCTCGTCTTCCTCCAGCCGGATCTGGCGGTTCAGCTCGTCCCGCTTCGAGCACAGGTCCTCGATACCTGACGAGACGGAAGAGAAGGTCGTTCTTAAAAGAACCGTCGAAAAATTACCTGCTATGTTCCTGCAATGAGAGGAGGCGTTTTAATGGTTTGCTGCTAGCATATTTGTTTTAATCAAAACATTTCATAGATTAGAGATGAGTGGAGCCCCCTGGTGGTCGGCCGCAATGCATTTAAGAGGATGAAATTTATTTTTTTTTAGCATTCGGTATCCAATGTACAATAAGAGAATAAAATTATAATTTAAGAAAACAGTCATAATAGTGCAAGAAAAAATATGTAATAATAATACTCCATCGTACCAATGAGAGCTGATCAAGAAAAAACAAACAACAAAAAAAAAAATCGGTCGATTCCGATCTCTGGCCAGTTGATCGGTGCATCTCTAACTTGTCGCAAAAGACTTATGGTTTTATCATTACTGCAAATAAAATTAAAACTTCCTTTAACTTTTTTATGACATAGGTTTTGTTCACCACAACCTTTAACATGAAATAAAGAGCTATATTTAAAACTTCAGCCTAAAAATAATCTCAGACTAACCGTCCTCAGAGGCTGCAAGACCTTAAACAGATTATATGAGGCAAGAAGGATTTCATCCAGGCTTTTCTACCGTTTCTTCACTCAGATGAGGATGGATGTTTCAGAAAAGTGATTAAAAGTTACAGCTACAGCTAAATTAATGCTTACAGCTGCATCAACGTGCAGTGCAGAGAATTAGAAGCTGATGACTTTAACTTGATATCTTAATCTGTGAGCGTTAATCAGATTGTACTGTGCTGTCTTGAAGGTTAACAGATTTAGGCTGTGGTTTACACAAAATTTAAATCTTTGTTTTTACAACTAAAATCATTTACAGAGCGTGAAAGGGTTATTTTATGAAAGTACGCCCAGTTAAAACTGATCGTTTTACTGTTACGCTGTTTACGGGGAGCAGATTTTGAACCGAAACAACATGACAACCCGCTTTAAAAACAGAAAACATCTATTTAGGCAGTTAAAATGTAAACGCAGAGACTTACACTTGACAAGCTCGTTGTTGTAGGTCTGAAGAGCCGCGGCTTGTTGGGTCATGTTGGCTTTTAGCGAGATTCCCGCCGCTAAGTTCAGTTAAAATGAATTTCTGTAACGTCCAGTGGATGTTTCTGCAGCTGACTGCAGGTAACACAGCAAACAGAGAGGCGGTTTAAACGTGAAAACTGAACTGAAGCGCTCCTGAATGGCGGGTGTTCCTTTACAACTTATTCTTCTCTGGTAATGGCGGCTGGCAAGGAACGTTCTGGCGCATTAGCGCCACCAACTGGAATGAAATGTTGATCGGGATACTAGCTTGATATCTAAACATATGTATATTTATAATTATAAACAGTGTCCCTCCTACTAATTTAGTTAATAAAAAGAGCAGAGGTAAACAGTAACCGACTAAATTTACTTTTACATAGTTACATTTACTTGGGTAATTATTTGAGAAATAACTTTTAGGAGTAGTTTTACTCCTCTGTAATGATTACTTTAACTTAGGTAATATTATTATGAAGTATCGCTGCTCTTACTTGAGTAAAATTTCTGGATACTCTACCCACTAAGAGTAACTTCACTGAATGAACAACAAACTTGTTTTAAACACAATCGAATGAAATACAGACACACCTACAGTTTATGTTAAAGTGAGACCTCTTGTTTATAGACAAGCTATGTTCTTCTATCTATTGAAGCGTTTGAAAAGTCAAATAAATCAAAATAAATACAATAAACACCTGAATATTGTCAACGGAAGAATCCCAATACCAACTTTAAATATCAGTTCCATACGCTTCATTTTTAACTAATTTAATTTGTTCTTAGTTTCAAGTTTTCCTGTTTTCCAATCGGCTTCTACTAATTCCCATATGTCGAAAGCAAAATAAATAAATAAATTGATGGCCGTTGCTACTAAGTTCTGACACTCCAAAACACTTCATTTTATTAGTTAAAATATCAGAATTTGCAGTTTATGTTTTCCTCTGTCTGATGTTGAGAGGCATAGTACCCAAAAAATATACTCAAGAAAAAGTATTACTACTTCAACATACTTTTATTCAAGTAAAAGTAAAACTTAGCCATCAAAGAAATTACTCAAATTATCAATCCCTTCATATTTGAAAGTTACATAACTGGACAGACCAAAATATAAAGTTAAGTGGAAATTTTGGTATTTTAAGGACCAAAATGACAATAATTCAAATAAGTAACAAAAAATAACAAAATTAGACAAAAAATAAGTTTACAAATCAGTTTCTTTCGATAAAAAACTTATAAAACTGTAACAAAAACTTCAGGTCTGTCTGGTGAATTTTTGGTCAAAACATGTTTGTTTTTCATTCAGTGGGTAGGAAATTCATAAAATTAACTCAAGTAACAGTAGAAATACTTCATAATGAAATTATTCAAGTAAAAGTAAAAAATATTCCATTACTCAAGTAAATGTACCTGAGTAAATGTAACTAGTTAGTATTTATTTCTGATAAATGATGGACAGCATTACTGTTTAATGTGTCTAATCTAAGGTGTGGTGTCGCTGATTGCGAATCAATAAACGTGACGCAATCGGTAGTGGGCGGAGCCAACGTCCAGGCACCATGGCTTCGGTAGAAACCGAGGTGAGTATGAGAGCTCTTTCTACGCTAAACTCGTCACACTTCGCTGCTCTTTTCCTGTGCCCGTAGGACCGAATTCCCTCCGTACAGCCAGGGAGTCGGTCTGTAGGCGAGCAGAAAGCCGGTGTCTGGTTGTAGTTTCACCGTGAGCTGCTCGCTGCCAGCTCGCAGTCTTGTGCTTTTGTGCTGGACCCGGAGGACAACTGAATGTGCAGGAAGATGCTGTGCCCCGGAACATGAATAATCACCGCTGGCGCGTTGCTATGTTAACCAGCGGGGCTTAGTTATACACGTTCCCGGTCCTTGTCACTACCCCTGAAGCTGTGTCCACCTTTAGCCGCTCATAAAAACATGCAGATGTTTAGCCGAGCATCACGAGGCGATATTGTTCATAGTTTTTAGCTGTTTTTCATCTTTCCCGGCTAACCGGAGGCTAATTAAGAGCGCTGGTAGGCTAGCTAGCAGCGATGCTAGTTAGCAGACTGCTTCTCTCTATCAAATATAAAACCACAGAGTGTCTTTTATTGGAGCCTGATTGCTGTGGAAAACACGACGCAGTCTTAGAAATATTTGTAGCTGCAGCTGGTTGGAGAGTGTTGTCTTTGCTGTGGTTTACAGCATGAAAGCTAACCGACTAATGAATGCAACTGTAGCAAGGCGCCAGCTCTGAAACCGGTTTTATTCTGTACTTTTTCACCTCTTAAACCTAATATTTGCAGTTTTTCTGCTTGCGATTGCTTGTTCTTATAAGGTGAAAGCGGATTTCATCATTTCCTTGTGCTGCCTTATGGTTTAAAAGAGAGCAGTGCTGTTTCTGATTTTCCTTATTTTCATGTAAAGGAAATAATTATGATGAAAAATAACTAAAGAGACAGCTGCAGATTAAAAACAAACAAACTAAAATAAGCCTTAATGTTCACAGCATCTGTTTTGAGCTTCAGTTTTTGTTTTCTTTTTTATTTTATACATATTTAAGAGGTAATGCATGATGTCACTCGGCAGGGGGCGCTCAGACAGCATTCTGGTTTCAGTGTAAAATCCTAATTGTTTGTATCCTGGACTATTGTCAAGGTAACTGAGTGTTTGGTGTTATGGTATATTTTCATTTCATTATATAATAAATAGCTAATTGTGTTCATATCAAAGCTAAAGATGTTTGTCCAATAGTTTCAATTATCAATTTTGTAAATCTGCAACCTGCTGATTTATAAATAAAACAGTTTGTTACCTTACAGATGCATTGAAAATTTGACGGTGTTTATAAAACAATAATTTCTTGAAAACAGTCCAAAGTTGGTCATAAAATGCAAAAAAATCCTACAGATTTTGTGGATAGAGGCATTTAAAACCAAACTGAAACAATCAATAATCACATCTCATTTCCTTTTTTCTTTTGCTAACCCCTAACCCTTCAAAATATAGTCAGATTTCATTCTAATTTTCCCAACCTTCATGTTATCTGCTGAAGCTTTGCTCTGTTTTGCATCCTTACAGCCTGAATTAACCAGACATGTCTTGTGCTAAAATGATTGAGTAATTTCTTACAGCTTTAGTTCTTCACCTGACTTAACGTTTTCTCACCTGATCTGCTGTGAAAATACACAGAATTGAGACGTGGTGTATTTACTGCTTTGAAATAAGGTCTGATTTTAGATTTCCCAACCAGCTGGTCACCTGTCGATGGCAGCTGAGATGAAAATGGACAAGTTTTGGTCACATGTGCATCTCCAGTAGCTTAACTGAGATTTTTGGTTCTCTTGCTGGTATCCTGGCTTCACGCCGTTGGAGGGAAGTTTAGTGATAAGGTATGCAAAGCAACCTTATCAGGACTCTGAAGTAACAGCAATAACAGTTTTTTTCTTTTGACTTTTCCAACTGGAGGAGTTGGTGTGAGACAGGCTCATTTTGCTAATTGATTCTGCCAGGATTGAGTAAATTCTGCTTATTCTGTAACTTTCTGTTACGTTATAAAGCATAACAATGGTACGACTGGGCCTGTCGTGATTAATTGTCCCAGAAATTAGTGCGATAAACATTAATGTTATTTTGAAACCATTTTCAAATTCAATAAGTTTGCTCTCTCAAATAAACTTAAGTTTTCTAAGAACATTTAACACTGGAACTGGAAGACATTTCAAATATTCAACATAAATATACAAAACAGAAATAAAAGCCGCAAACAACTGAAGCCATAAATAAAACAGATTAAACATAATTCCCTTCCAAAATATTAATCTTCAGAATGGAAATTATCGAGCTTATTATTTTCTAACATGCCTTTAATTGATTAATTGCTTATTGCGACAGGGTTATTCACTGTGCTTTTGTTACTTGGGCCTAAAAGGCCATAAAAAATAAATAAGGTCCAATACTGGATCCCTGAGGAACCCCGTATGTTTTCTCTGTCGATTGTTTACCTTATTCTATTTTTTTCTGTTTCTTTTTACTCTCTCATGTTCCGATAAAGTTCAAAATAAACTAAGAAATTAAAAATACTCTTAAAATAACTTGATTTTATCAGCTTTTTTGTAGGATTTTAGAAAATAGACTGACTGGTTATGTTACCTGTTGTACCTGAATGCACCGTGGAAAGGCAACCATTAGGAAAACCCTCAGTGTTGAACTCCTGGTCTCCATGTCTGCCATTAGAAAGACTCATGTTGCATTTGGGGCTGGTTGAATCCAACAGGCATTTGGATTTGGACTTTAGTCCATCTGTCTCTGCCAGCAATGTTTCATTTCTGTTTGTTTTCGTTGCAGGTGAGTAAGTCAGTAATCAAGAGCTCCAGACTTTATAATTGTTGGCAAGCGCTGACATGAAGCTTTGGTTTATTCATCACTGCAGCTGAATAAGAAACATTAAAACTCCCTAGTTGCTGACTTTAGGGGAAGCTGCGGATCCGTTTGTTTTGGTTGTGTTTGGTTACCACAACTTTGTAACTCCATTGTACTCAGAAAGTGGTGGTTCTGCTCAAACGCTCCTTTCTGTTCTTTTTTTTTCCAATTATGACACTAAAGATTGAGGAGTGTGTCAGGCCCATTTAAGAAAAATATTGAAGAAAATATTTTGTTTCAGACAGAAGAAACTGTCTGGAATGAGATTTCTGGTTTATAATCTTTTACCATTTTGGAACTGTTGTATTGTTGCATATTAAAGTTGCCACAATGCATTTAAAGTTTTAGGTCAAAACAGAACTGTTTTATGTTTGCTTAGAACACTGGAACTGGAAGACATTTCAAATATTCAACATAAATATACATGTTGAATGAATGATTTGGCCCATTAGCAACAATATTTTAAAATCTATTCTCTGAGCTACAGGGAGCCAGTGGAAGGACTGGTGTTATGTGCTCCATCTTCCTGGTTTTAGTCAGAACTCCTGCAGCAGCCTCTGGATCAGCTGCAGCTGGAGGATTGATTTTCTTTTAGGCAGACCTGTGAAGACGCTGTTGCACAAATGGATGCAACTGAAAATAAATGCATGGATGAGTTTCTCCAGGAGAAATGTGGAGATGTTCTTCAAGCAATAGAAGGCCGACTTTGTAACCGTCTTTATGTGGCTCTGACGGTTTAGCTGATCTGATCTCTCGTTTGAAGCTCTAATAACTGAATCTGTTCGCTGACTTGTTCCTCTTTCAGTCCAAAGATAATAACTCAGGTTTATTTCTGTTCATCTGGAGAAAGTTATGGCTCATCCACACATTTATCTGTTCTAAGCATTCGTTGCGAGTCACTGGTGACATCGTGATGTAGAGCTGTATATCATCTGCGTAGTTATGGTAGTTAATCTTACTTATAACCTGAGCTAGTGGGAGCATGTAGATATTAAATGGGAGGGGTCCAGGGATTGACCCTTGGGGTACACCGAATGTGACTTCTGTCTGCTCCGATGAGAAGTTTCCTATTTACACAATGAGTGTGAGGTGTTTCTGTCTGAAGGGCTGGGTACAGTCTGCTGTGCTGAATGTGTCATATTTCTAGGTGTAGCAAAGCTTGCAGGTCTGATATTGAGTTTTTATTGTTAGTGTGTGTCACATGTCCTTTACTGTGAAAAGCTTCCTGCTTTGTTTGTATGGAACCTGTTATGTTACTTTATAGACACTTTATACTTCGTGGCTGAAGGAAGAAACTTTCTGGCAACCATTCAGAAATTCACTAACCTGTTTGTGTCAGAGGTACTTGTGCGTTAAAATTACAAACTATAAAAGTGTTGTTAATTAAACTATCTTTGGATTAAATGTTCTTAATTGTGTAAAAGTATGATATACCTGAACACTTGCATACATTTTGTCCCTTTCTACTTTCATTTTACACATTTTAAACAAATCGATCCCACGGTATTTGCGAGATTAGGGACCACAACCACCAGCAAATAGCTTAAATTCACAAATAGTTGGAACCTCTAAGAATGTATATAACTGCTTATTCTTATCATTCAAACACCAAATATACTTTATGCACACAGTGGAAACCATCTTAGCTCTGCCATAGGAGCTAATGTCCACAGTTTCCTTATTGCCATTCTTGGGGCTACAGCCAATCATGTACTGGCTAAAACGCCAACCAACACCACGTCCAGTGGTATTGTGCCCATGTGTTTTAGCTTTGCAAGCTGCATTTTCTTTAAAATGTTTCAGAAATGGCTAACTGGCTGCTTTGCAGGCCAATACGTTATCAATACGTTATCAATGGGAACTTCTGGAGGTTCAAAGTAGGACAGCAAATAAAAGCTGGTATTGGAGGAACGGCAATGGAAACCATCCAATCTTCTGGTCATGACTGTCATGTTGGTGCTTTTCTAGACCTAACAGAGTAATCTCACTCATGGGTTTAACCAGAAAGTAGGATGTCATCAAGCAGTAACATGGTTGTTGTTGTTTGGCCCAGTGGTTTGTTTGGGGAAGATGTTCTTTTTTTCTGACATCTTCTTGAAGTCAAACTATTTCAGAAAGAAATATTTTGAGAAAGTACAGTCAGAAGAAAAATCTGATTACTGCAAATATTCAGTGACTGTTTGACAAACATGTTGCAGGAATCAAGTCAACTAAACGTAAATTAGTCCTTTAATCCTAGAAATATTCCTCAGGTGATGGAAGGCTGACTTTGTAATTGTCTTTATGTGTCTCTGAAAGTTCAGGTCAGAGTTCATCACTGCACTCAGATTTCTGACCTGACTACTAGTTTCTAGCTGAAGCTGACTCTTCATCGTTCCTATAGGGCCAAGAATAAATACTTTAGTTTTGTTTCTGTTAAACTGAAGGAAGTTATGGCTCCTCCTCGCTTTGAGTGCAGAGAACACATCAGGGCTGGCAATAAATCAATAACAAGATATGTTACGATAGACATGATAAAAATATGTCCAACAGAATGTTCAATAATTTCACTGAACTTCGATCCAGAACCGCACAGCATTCTGGGGGATGTAGGCAGAGGAAAGGTTTTAGCGACTCAGCCTCTTGTGGCAGTTAACCAATCCTGGTGGAATCAACTAACTCACTCTCTCTTTGGTTACCTAGCAACTCACTCTCTTTGGTTACCTAGCAACAACCTGTTGAGTAACTTGCACAGTAGCAGTTTAAAGTTTTGCTTCTGTGCCTCATAACTATGTAAAAATAAACAACGGTGTGGAGTGAAAACCGTGGATAAAACAGGAAATGTCACCAGTTTGCTAGTATTTCAGATATTTAAAACAGAAAAACTCATCCATAATTATCTATTTTGACTTATGCTTATGTCGTGATTCGTTTTTCAGCCATATTACCCAGCCGTAGTACGCACAACCAGTACCTTTCCTGGTATTCTTTGAGAAAAGTACTTGTTAAACATCAGGGTTTCCCCCAGTGTAATATAAGCCTGGCAGGCCTCCAGGCTTTACTTGTGCCCCCACCAGGCTAAGCAATGCTTATTTATTTAAGTCTTTTTAAAATGTTTGCATTTTTTAAAGACTTTATACTTCAGGTATTGATCTTTCAATAACACATAATTATCAAGTGACATTTTCAAATTTCATGTCAACTTTGAATATGTTTTAACTAAAAAACACGAGTTAACTCCCAACCACCGGGTTTAGCAAGTTTTCTGGGGGAAACTTTGAACATGATTAAAATAGGATTTTTATGATTTATTGCACCATTTCATAATTTTACACATATTAATCAGGAACAGTCTTTAAAAAATGACTTAAAGAGCAGAAGGTTCTGATATCTGCTAATTGAATTTCCCCGTGCGGTTGACAGGTTGTTTTTTATTATTATTATCTAGAACTAAGGTAATTCTTGCCTGTTTGTCTTGAGCTCACCAGCATCATGAACCATCTAGTTGGTTTTGCTACATTAATGAGGAGATTTGATGGTTTTAATTCATCCGGTCGGTTTCTGATTGAACCTTATTGAACAGTCTCCTTTTCTCTTCTTGCTGTTGCTCTGTTTTAAGTGTTTTCCTTTCAAGGCAGATCAGATTGTAGCTGTTTGGACTTGTTTTTGTGCGTTTGGTCGGCCAAGTCTTTCTGCTTCTTTCCTTCAGTCAAATTGAAGACAGCAGAGTCCATGTTGCACTCGAGTAAACCTGTTTTTGTTCTTTCTCATAAAAACTGATTGGATGTTTATCTTCAGAAATGACTCAAAGATATTTCGGGGTGATATGAGTAAGTGTGTGTCAAAACCACATCCATCTCCATTTGCTTTGATTGGCCTTGACGTCTGAGCCCTTCCATGGTGACTTGGCTCCAAAGGATATCTTCAGAGGTCAACCAGTGGAGAGAACGGAGTGGTGTTACAGTTTGAAGTGACTGAGCATGCTCAGTGGAGACCGTTTTGAGGAAGAGGAGGAGAACCGACAGAGGGAGCCAACAGGTCACATGACCGGCGAGGTGAATACACATGCGGGGAAAGAAAAGAAAATCGGGAGCAGTCTCTTCAGCAGGTTTTTGCGCTCTCTCCCTCTCTCTCTGTCCTCCCCACCACTCCTCTTCCTCTCTTACCCCACGCACTCCTCCTCCTCTTCCTCCTCCCCCACTCCCTTTCTGACGCCTTCTTCTTCTCAGTGGAGGCCATGAGAAGAAAGCAGGTATGATGCTTCCTTGAGACAGAGAGGAAAGACATGCTGTGCTCTTTCTCGGTTGGCCTTAGGTGTTTTGAAGACATGCAGCCTTGCTTCATTGTTTCTAAAATAAAAACAATTGGTTTGAGTTTCTCTTCTGTTTTAAGACGATTCTTGAATTGAAAGTCTTAATGTATTGAAGCCATAATTGTTGTTTGTGTCGAGTTATCCAAAAGCCATCAGAGGGTTTACGTGTTGGATCGTGTCTGTGGACGGATCTCAAAACGAACGTACTCCGATCATTTACAGCATGTCTTTCCTCAAACGGAAGCAAAATTCAGACTTGACAAAGTTGTAGAAATTTCTCCCAATTTGTGGCTTTTATAGCTTTGATGTTGTTCTTGCTTTGGTCATGTAGGTTCTGTGTCCTGTTTCTGAATCAGTCTGCAGAGAGCTGGAAGAATATTTTATTAAAATGAAGATAAAGACAACAAAGAACCAGTTTGGACGTCCGTCTCCTTCAGAGTAAACTCCCCTTGTGGAAAGCGTTCATACTTTGCGGCGCGTTTTCAGGCCTCTTGGAACAGATCTAAAGATAGGTCGCAGGCCTTCACATACCAGACTCACGTTGGAGAGATACTGAATGATTCAAGCTCTGTAATGTTCCCATTTTCTATGCAAAATATGGAGCCTGGTTGTTGTCGACCTCCAGGCCTCTAATGGCTTTCAGCTCCAGCTGCAGCTTTGGTCTAATCTACCATGTTTTCATGTAACTGAGGCCTTCAGGCCTGCTGATCTCCTCCCTCAGGTTTGGAGATTCCTCAGTTTTCCAATCCACCAGCTTCCCAACCCCTTCAGTCCTCCATCTAGTGGAAAACCGCTGCAATGGCCGAGCCATGTCAGTAAACAGTCTGGTTGTGAAATGGCGGAGCTCTGCAGACAGCTTTCTCTGCCTCCCTTCCCCCCTCTGTCTCTCTCTGCCTACTGAATCCAACGCCACTTCCACCTTCCACCAGTAGGGGGAGGGAAGAGGCCGGGTTTTGTGTTTTCCTTTGAGTAAAAGGAGGAAGCAGCAGCGTTCCTCGGGTCTGGCTGCTCCCAGGTGTTCCTGCGGCAGGTCAAGCTCCACTCAGACTGGACGCTCTTTGGGAAACAGCCTCAGTTTTTGTGCTGCAGGGCAGATGGTGGGCAGAGCCTGTTGCTGATTGACAAGGTGCTGGTCTGCCTTGGGTCTGCGGTGGTCTGCTCTGATGGTTCCTGTTTGGGTCTGAGCTGCAGGTGAAGGAGAGAAATCCTTGACCAGAAACGGTCTGGACTGGTGTGTTAATGTGCAGACATGGACAAACCAGTCCTCTGATTGGGCCAGTTTGAAGGGGAAAGTCTGACTCAGAGTCGGCTTTGTTCGGCCTCCATGAAGCAGACGAGAGCTCTAACTGTTGTCATTAACGCTGGCTGGGCTGCAGTTAAAGGTCAGGCTGATCTGAAGCTGCTTTCCTCTCATGTTTGCACTGACATGCTGCCAAAGATTGAAGAGTTTGCAACAAAGAGGCAGCGACTGCTTTCATGCCAACCTGCATCTTTTGTGCAGGGAACTGAAAATGAAAAACTGGCGAACATTTGCTGCCTGTACAGCCGGAGACTCTGGCCTATGTTTTGGTCGGTGCGTTAACACACAGGTTCTGTTCGGGTCAGGATCAGTTGGGTGTTTCTGGATTCCCTGCATGGTTTGTTCACTTTGAAGGTTGACGCCACAGCAGGGGAGCTGTCGGTGTACATCTGGAGCCAAACATCATTTTCCTGTTTGATTTGGTCCAATTTCTCCTCCAGTTTCATTTATTCTTCCTTCTGTTGTCAAGAAAAGAGAAAACTAACAGAATACGTTGATGCACATCATATATTTTAATATTTGATTCGGGTTAGAATGATTAATCATCTTAGTTAAGATGAATCATTTATTGAAATAATCGTGAACTACTTTATAGTAATTGATTTATCATTAACTGGAGTATAAAGATTAAAGAAAAGGCCATTTGCTGAAAGAACAACATGTTCAGAGCAGTAATTTTGCCAACATTTCAGAACAGATGAGAAAAACCTTCGTCTGTTAATATGTTTTGCCCAGAACTCCTCAAGTGGCAGTTTAAGTTTCAACTGGGTCAAATTGAGCAAATAAAATCTCAACTTATCCAATTTTTAATCAGTTTATTCAAAAACCAGATCAGCCATAAATTGTATTGATCTTTAGTCTAACAACAGAAAGAGCTGAACTTTGCAAATATTAATGTGAGAAATAATTTTAGCTGCGGATGCATCTTTGCTCTAAATGATAAAGTGTATATTAGAATAATGTTATATTGATGCATTTTACGCAGTAAGATGTTTATTGTCTCATCTAAAAAAGGAATGTAATCATGTTTATTTGCATCTTTTAATGTATTTCTAATATTGTATAAAAATGGTTAAGTGGTTAATTGAAAACGCTCCAGAACGTTCTTGATTTGATTAATCGATTAATCATCAGAACAAGAAGAAATGGAAGCTCACATTAAATAAGCAGTTGTAAAAGAATAATTTAAAATAGGTTCACCCTTCATTAAATGATATTAGTGGAGAAATAAGTTTTATATCCCACAGTGGGGAAATCCAGGTGAACCGTCAGCAAATTTAGGTCAACAAAAGCAAAATTATGTCTAAAAATAGAAGAAGAGACAATAAATTAAGGGGGAAATTTAAAACATAAGAAAATTAATACTGTACAGTTACCATTATTTAACATAAACAGGTATTCTCAGTGTTAATTTGTCTACTGTTTTGATAAACAGGGAAGAACGTAGGGCTTAAACGATCAATCAGAGTAAATCATCAACTGATTTAGTAATCGATTAATCGTTAGTGAGCAGAGTCAAAAAAGGCAATTTGGTGAAAAACCGAGAACAGAAATTAAGCAAAACATTTAGTAGAAATATGTATATTTTGCATTTAAGATAAAAACACTTTTGTCTGTAAATATAATAAACATTTCAGCTTCACCTGATTTACTACAGGAATGGCACCGTGTTGCATTTTAGGCAGTAAAATGTTTTTCTTATTTAAAAAAGTAATCAAATTACTTTCCTATTTGAATCTTTTAAAGTATTTCTAATTTTGTATAAAAAAGTCTTAAGTTGTTAAATAAACACCTGTTGAATGTCATTAAAAAATGATTAATCATCAGAATAATTGATGGATTAATCGATTACTAAAATAGTCGTTACTTGCAGCCCAAGAAGAAACAAATTTTCTAATTTTGATATCGGGAAGTAAAATATTGTCATGTTGTAATTAATTATATGCTTTCAAAGAAACTTCAAATATTCAAATATTGTTGCTGTGGATTAAAAAATTAAATAAAATCCTCAAGTTTTCCCAAGAAAGAACGAGGCTTGTGGAGATCTACATTTGGTTTCCGGATATTTTTGCTGATTAGTTTTGGTTTCCTCATTATTTCAGGTAAGGAGGCAAAGTGTGAGGAGTTTTCTTACGTTCCCTAATGAACCGCTGAGGAGATTATAAATCCATCGTCATCTTGGCTTTCCCAAAATATTCAAACACATGGTAATAGAGATCAGTTTGATTATCCCAACTGGTGTAAAATAAGGAACGAGGGAAACAGATTCACCTTCTTTTTACACAGTGTATGTAAATAACTGGTTTCAGCTGTCTGGGCCTCAATGCGCTCAGCTTCAGCTGCTCAGAAATCATTAATTACAGTCAATCAATGAGGCAACATTCAAGGAGAAAAGAGTTTAGAGGCTGTTGTTCCCAGATCTTCAGGTTTGACTTTGTTCAGGAGACGTTCAGTGACCGTTTGACAAACAAATGTGACGAGATGAAGAGCAGCTGCCACACAAGAACTGCAACTTCACAAAGTCGAGGCACGAATGCACTTATTGCTTTCCTGCTTGCTTGCAGCAACCTCTTTAATCTAAATGGTAGCAGGGCTCACAACTGAAGAGACACACAAAGCAGACACTGAGTTCGATTTTCCCCTAGATGGAGGAGAAAACCGTTTCCTATCAGCCTGGCCCAATCAGAGACCTAAAGGAGGCAGAAACGACTGGAAACACACCAGTCCAGACCGTTTCTCGTCAAGGATTTCTCTCCTTTACCGGACAGTCTGAGTCTTTTGTACAACTCAGACCCAAACAGGAACCATCAGAGCAGACCACCGCAGACCCAAGGCAGACCAGCACCTTGTCAATCAGCAACAGGCTCTGCCCACCATCTGCCCTGCAGCACAAAAACTGAGGCTGTTTCCCAAAGAGCGTCCAGTCTGAGTGGAGCTTGACCTGCCGCAGGAACACCTGGGAGCAGCCAGACCCGAGGAACGCTGCTGCTTCCTCCTTTTACTCAAAGGAAAACACAAAACCCGGCCTCTTCCCTCCCCCTACTGGTGGAAGGCGGAAGGGGCGTTGGATTCAGTAGGCAGAGAGAGACAGAGGGGGGAAGGGAGGCAGAGAAAGCTGTCTGCAGAGCTCCGCCATTTCACAACCAGACTGTTTACTGACATGGCTCGGCCATTGCAGCGGTTTTCCACTAGATGGAGGACTGAAGGGGTTGGGAAGCTGGTGGATTGGAAAACTGAGGAATCTCCAAACCTGAGGGAGGAGATCAGCAGGCCTGAAGGCCTCAGTTACATGAAAACATGGTAGATTAGACCAAAGCTGCAGCTGGAGCTGAAAGGCCTGGAGGTCGACAACAACCAGGCTCCATATTTTGCATAGAAAATGGGAACATTACAGAGCTTGAATCATTCAGTATCTCTCCAACGTGAGTCTGGTATGTGAAGGCCTGCGACCTATCTTTAGATCTGTTCCAAGAGGCCTGAAAACGCGCCGCAAAGTATGAACGCTTTCCACAAGGGGAGTTTACTCTGAAGGAGACGGAGGAAACGCCTCGACATCCAGACACCAACTGGTGATTTGAAACTGCTCAGACTTCCACATCGTCCTGATGATCTGTTCATTCCTCTTTGTGACGTCATACCAACAAACTTTAATGAGTTTTAGCATTATTTCTATTGATGTTCACATTTCTTCATTTTTGGTAGAATTACATTTTAAACTCTAAAACTTGTATCAAACTTTCCTTCCACTCTCTTCTCACTGTAGTTTTCTGGAGTTCTGGCCCATTCCTCCCAACAGAACCAGTAGAACTGAGTCAGATTTGTAGGCTACACACCTCAACAGCTCTGCACATAAATCTCTAAGTGGTTTAGCTTAGGGCTTTGTGATGGACACTCTAAAACATTGACTTTGTTGTTCTTAAGCCACTTTGTAGCTAATCTGGCTGTTTGCTTTGGGTCACCGTCCATCTGGAAGGCTGCCAGTTTGAGATGCTGCTTCAATATGTTCACTACATAGTTTTTCCTCATGATGCCACTGGCTTTATGAAGTGTGACCCAACATGATGCTACCACCTCTGTGAGGCACAGAGGTACAAATTTTCGCTTTTCCATTTAAATGTAACGATTATTACAACAAAACACCTCAGATTTAGTTTTACTACTTTAGCTGGCATGTCTTTAAAAATTAATGTCTTTGTTGTTGAGTCCATGTGCAAAGTCCATGTCTGTACAAGACTTATTTTATTGTATCAATCAACCAACCAATCAATCAATCAGGTTTATTTGTTCAGCACATTTCAATAATAAGGCAGTTCAAAGTGTCTTACATCATAAAAACACAAAAATAAAAAGTCACAAAAGCATTATACAAAAACCAATACATAGTTCAGACGCTTCCGTGAACGTTGTAACCGGCAGCCATCTTGGGAAAGCAGTTGCTACGGCGTTGCTATGACAACAATAAACAAACCACAAGCTTAGCTAGCTCTCACCGCCTTCCTTTCTATCTAACTGATAATATCAGTAGATTACAAATGTTACTCGATTACAATTTTTGAGTACTCTACCCGCCTCTGTGTACTAAGGTAGATATTTACTGTAGTACTTACTGCCGAACTAGCAAAATTAGCTTAGCTAATGTAGCTTTTATCTGCTAGCTAAGATAGACATGTAGCCTTTGTGTTTGTTAGTACATGGACTTATTCAGTCACCAGAACCTTATCATTCACACGAGGAGGTCGTTCGTCCTTTACAAATCCGTTGAAACGTGACTCGTATGCGGCCATGGATTTCAGGCCCTGAAGCTCCAAACGTGTTGTAAACGTTGCTCATGTTCCTCAGGTAGCTAACTATGTCTTAGTATGAGATCGGTGCTCCATCCACTCAAGCATTTTCCTTCTGCATCTCAAACGGGTCGATCCCGACAGCAGCCATTTTGTTCATGCATCTCTCTCACGCATTGGTCAAACGTCTCTTTCACTTATTTTCAGCAATTTTATAGTTTTATGGTTGGAGGACAGGAGAAATTAAGATGGCGCAGATCATTTCTGGTTCAGACCCGTTCATTGGAAAATCAGAAACAAACATTACATTCTATCAGGAGCCATCATTAAAAAACAACAATACAAATCAAACATGTTGGTCCATTTATTATGATTCAAAATAATAATAAGGATTTAGCTTTTTTTCTGGGGTTCGTTGCCACATTTGGCACCAAAACACATTCACATCTCCATCAATCTGGAATTTACCAAATAGAAATAATGCTAACAATACCAGAACTGACCTAAAAAGGAAAAGATCTGCATAGTTTCTCTAAAACTCATTAAAGTTTGTTGGTATGACGTCACAAAGAGGAATGAACAGATCATCAGGACGATGTGGAAGTCTGAGCAGTTTCAAATCACCAGTTGGTGTCTGGATGTCGAGGCGTTTCCTCCGTCTCCTTCAGAGTAAACTCCCCTTGTGGAAAGCGTTCATACTTTGCGGCGCGTTTTCAGGCCTCTTGGAACAGATCTAAAGATAGGTCGCAGGCCTTCACATACCAGACTCACGTTGGAGAGATACTGAATGATTCAAGCTCTGTAATGTTCCCATTTTCTATGCAAAATATGGAGCCTGGTTGTTGTCGACCTCCAGGCCTCTAATGGCTTTCAGCTCCAGCTGCAGCTTTGGTCTAATCTACCATGTTTTCATGTAACTGAGGCCTTCAGGCCTGCTGATCTCCTCCCTCAGGTTTGGAGATTCCTCAGTTTTCCAATCCACCAGCTTCCCAACCCCTTCAGTCCTCCATCTAGTGGAAAACCGCTGCAATGGCCGAGCCATGTCAGTAAACAGTCTGGTTGTGAAATGGCGGAGCTCTGCAGACAGCTTTCTCTGCCTCCCTTCCCCCCTCTGTCTCTCTCTGCCTACTGAATCCAACGCCACTTCCACCTTCCACCAGTAGGGGGAGGGAAGAGGCCGGGTTTTGTGTTTTCCTTTGAGTAAAAGGAGGAAGCAGCAGCGTTCCTCGGGTCTGGCTGCTCCCAGGTGTTCCTGCGGCAGGTCAAGCTCCACTCAGACTGGACGCTCTTTGGGAAACAGCCTCAGTTTTTGTGCTGCAGGGCAGATGGTGGGCAGAGCCTGTTGCTGATTGACAAGGTGCTGGTCTGCCTTGGGTCTGCGGTGGTCTGCTCTGATGGTTCCTGTTTGGGTCTGAGCTGCAGGTGAAGGAGAGAAATCCTTGACCAGAAACGGTCTGGACTGGTGTGTTAATGTGCAGACATGGACAAACCAGTCCTCTGATTGGGCCAGTTTGAAGGGGAAAGTCTGACTCAGAGTCGGCTTTGTTCGGCCTCCATGAAGCAGACGAGAGCTCTAACTGTTGTCATTAACGCTGGCTGGGCTGCAGTTAAAGGTCAGGCTGATCTGAAGCTGCTTTCCTCTCATGTTTGCACTGAAATGGTTTCATTCAAACCCTCGACGTTCTTAGTTTCTTCCTGAAGTGAAAAAGTGTTGGACGTTTATCAGACGTTGGAGACGATTGATGGATTTCTGAGAAATGCTTTCAAGCTGCTGACTGATCTGGTCTCTGTTTACTCTCCTCATGATGGCGTCACTAAAAAAACTGAAAGAAATTGTAGTTTTTTAGGTTTAGCTGGTGCCTTTTCTTCACCTCTGTTTTAGTTTAGGGGAGATAAAGTGAGTCAAGTTGAAAAAAATGCACAAAATATAGAAATTCTCTCTTTTTGGTGCTAATATTTCGTTTTAGCTTCATATTTTTCAATTAAAATTTATTTTATTTAGGAACAAAATGAAGAAAATTTAGTTCACAATGTTTTACAGTTCTCTTTTCAGTTCATGTGATTTTTAAATATCCTCTTTTTGTCCGTTTTCTTAAAAAGTGTGAAGAACCACATTGAAGCATCTTTTCAGTAAAACATCGACGGGCGTCGCCTCTTTTTCATTAGTTTCATGTCGAGTGGAAATCTCAGTGTCTCCATCTGGGAAACGTCCTAAATGACGTTTATCCTTTTCCAAATTATTGCTCTTTACTGCTGGTAGCATTGCATTAAACATAAAATATTAAGCTGCTGCTGCACTGAAGCCCAATGAAAATATTGATCTCTGAACTCTTCCTGAGTTAAAACATTAATATTGTTGTTTCTAAGTGAATATTAACTGGTTTTCTTTGCTTCATTTCAGGGCTGAAAGCTCTGCAGGTTTTTTACTTTGACCATTTCTCACTTTCTGCAAATAAATAATACATTTTTGCTTGGAGTAGTTTATAGAATAAAATAAAAATGTTCATTTTACTCAAAGATAAACCTTTAGAAAGTAAAATCAGAGAATCTGATTGTTTTAAGAGTCTCTTAATTTTTTCCAGAGCTGCATTTGTTTCATTGAACTCTTTTCTCACAGTTTGGCCGTTTCTTCTCATCGTTTAACTCAAACTGGGCCCAGTAATAATCTCCTCCCTTTGTAACTCAGGACGGCTCGTTTCGACCTCCAGCCTGACCTTCTGTCCTTTCTGCCCGTCTGGGTCGACGTTTTGAAGAAACGTTCTTCCACATGGATTCCCTTCATCAGCAGTTATTTAATATTCTTTGATGGTTTCCTTCTTCTCCCATTTCTCCTTCATGTCCAACGTTTCCTCTCCCTCCAGGTTTTGTAGCTTCTTGTCCATTTTGGCTTTAATCTGTTAATGGAGGTTGATCTGATTCTTCCTGTCTGGTTCATCTTTCTTTGTTTGTATCATGACATATTTCACGATAAAGATGATTATATTTTACAGGTGTTGTAGATTTATTTGTATTTCTTGCTTTTGAGGTAAATTAAGTGGCTCCTAACAGTTGATGGACCTCCTTCTTCTTCTTCTGCAGCCCGCTGGTTTAGCCGTGGATAACGTTGCACCTCCAAAGAAAGAGGGACTGGATCCACCGAAACATGGAGAGGAGAAGTCAGGTCAGCCTCCAGATCAAACCCTGGATGGTTCCGGTTTGGTTCCGGTTGGTTTGACCTTATTTTTCTGTTTCCCGCCTCAGGCGAGGACACAGACGTAGCATCAGCGGCGGGACGCTCCTCTCCCGCCGCGGCGGAGGCCATCATGCTTAACGGCACGGACAGCGACGACGGCAGCCGACACGCAGACCTGACGGTCAGCGGCATCAAGGCGGCGCTGAACGAAAACGGCACGGCGGAGACGGAGACGCCGCACGGATCCGTAACTGGAAGCAACGGGTTCATCCTGGCTAAGGAGCAGCAGCAGGACGGCGGCGATGCGGCGGCGCCCGCTTCGGGGGTTTCTTCCCCTCTCAGGACTAGCAGGCTGCCTTCGGGCTCGCCGCCGGGGGGACAGACAGCCAAACCCCTCGGCGCCTCGGCGGCGGCGGGATGCGCACAGAGTTCAGGCGCGTTAAGGACCGCCCCCGGCACGGGGAGTATGTCGGACACTAAAAACGGCTTTGCTTCAAGCCCCGTCACGATTCCGCCGCCGGTTACTGTTCACAGAGCGAGGAAGACCATGTCGAGACCGGCGGTCAGCCCGGCTCAGAAGGTACGATCACCTCCGCCGCGTCTTCGTCTCTGACGTCTGAACCACAAACAGGCCCAACAAACGATCCTGGACGATAAATCAACCCAGAAATTATCACGATAAACGATTGTATTGTTGTTTTTAGGCCATCTTCAATTATTACATCTGTAATGGAATAAGAATAAACCTTAAATTTCAATTAATATTTAACACTGGAGCTGAAAAACATTTTAAATCTCCAGAATAAATAAAGAAAACAACAAATAAAATGAATTATGAAGTTTCCGTAAACAAAAATGTCCTTCAGAGTTAAGACCAAAACACCAAACTGAAGAGTTTTATCATCCAGAGAAAGATGGTAAATCATGCAGATGGAAATGATTAAACTCGTTTTAATTTATCATTATTTATTGATTATTGAGACACAAGTTCATCTTTTAGTTTCTCTGTTTCATGTAAGCATCCATCCATCTTCTTACTTTCTTTTGTTTTTAGGAAATTTAAGTCTGATCTCAGGGGAAACCTCCACCTTGAATCTTTGTATTTATGTTTAAAAAAGCAGCAAAAGCAGAAAGAAAACCAAACGTTTGACCCTGGAACGTAACATTTAGACGTAAAGAAGAGTGTAGTGATTAAACCCAGAGCCTGTAACCCTCACGGCGCCACAGAGCAGCGCTCCTCACGTTTCATCGTTTCTGTCGCCTGCAGCTCATCAACAAGGAGCTGAGACAAGCAAACAGTGTCAAATCGGAGTCTCCAGTCGCACCAGATGTGGAGAAGTCGTCTCCGCCGCCGCCGCCGAACCATCTACCTCAGAGTCCACCAGAAACGCCAGCTTCAGCACACACTGCTTCACCAGCAGCTCCCACAGAGCCGGCAGCTCCTGCAGATTCTCCTGCAGATTCTGCAGCTGCTGCCAAGCATCGCCTGGGTACGACTCACCCCAACGACCGGAGTTCAGATTCACGGCTGGGACGCACTGTGATGGTCTCCTCTTCTCTCCCCAGGGCCGTACTCTACGGTGTTTTCATCCCGGAAGAAGAAGAGGAGGATGGGAACGTACAGCTTGGTTCCCAAGAAGAAAACCAAAGTGCTAAAGCAGAGAACCATGCTGGAAATGTTTAAGGAGCTGCAGCAGTCTGCAAAGACCCAACAGGTCCTACATCCTGTTCTGCTCATCCAGATAACATGAAAATAGGGCTGGAACGATTAATCGTGATTAATCAGTAATTGAAATAACCGTCAACTAATTCATTAATCGATTAATCAGAGTAAATGGACTCTAAAAAGGCCCATTGATGATTAAAATAAAACACACTCGGACCAGTATTTAGGTCAAAACTATAGTTGAGAACCTTGCTGGAAATGTTTTTAACAGTCTACAGAAACCCAGCAGGTTCTGTTGAAGTGATTTCTGCTTCTCCAGATTACATAAAAATGAGGCTGAAACAATTAATCGTGATTAATCGATAATTGAAATAGTTGTCAAATAATTTATTAGCCGATTAATCAGAGTAAACAGACTCAAAAAGGCTCATTGGTGATTGAAAAACGGAGTCAGAGCAGTAATTAAACCAAACTGCAAAAAATATAGTTACGTTTTGCATTTATGATAAAAATAACTGTCTGTAAATATAGTTTTAGTTTCTTCCATTCAGTTTAATCTCCAAATCAGAACTGCTTTTTCCCGAGTTTCCATAATCCTGTAATTATGAAGACATCAAAGATTTCAGATTAGGACTGGAATGATTAATCGGATTAATTGTGATGAATTGGTTATTAAAATGATCAACTAATTTTGTAATTGATTAATCGTTAATGGTCTGAAAGGACCAGTAGGTGAAAGAAAAACACAGCAGCAGGTAAGCTAAAAATGTACAGAAACCTTTACATTTTGGATTTAAAATAAAATAAAACTTCAATGTCTGTAAATATCCTCTACTGCAAAATCAACAAGTGCCAGTTTTAACTTTGCCTGGTTCAAAAAATCTCCTATGGAGCACCTTGATGCCAAGTCAAGCAGAAAGAGTTGAGCTCTTCACATTATTTAGTTTTCACTAAAGGAATAAAATGTTTTTCTCATTCAAACAATGAATTAAATTATTGGTTTATTTGTGTCTTTTAATGTATTTCTGATATTACTGTTACTTATTCTCTACTAAGCTTTAAACACTCGTGAATAAATCTCCTGGCTTCCAGAAGAGGGAGGCGGCCACCGTGAACGGGGAGAAGGTGGTGAACGCGTCCGAGGAAGACGAGTCGGAGGACATGGAGTCTGAAGAGGAGATGCGACGGCAGCCTGCAGAGCAAACGCTTCCAGCTGTTCAAGAAACCTCTGAGTCTGCTGATCAGGTGGGAGAGGAAGACATGCCCGTCCAGTTGTAGGTCCAATGGACAACGGTACACTTAGGGCATCACTGTCCATTGATTGGTGGACAGGAAAACACCACTGCTTGCGTTTGTCTTCGTCCGAGTGTGATACCATGTTAGGTGTTTGGGTTTAACCCCTCCTGCCTTGTGAGAGTCCAGTAGGCAGTGCAAACACCTGCCACGCCATTCCTGGCCCCTTAAGTTGTAATGATACGGTTAGGGTGGAACTACTGGTGTCCATTGATTGGTTGACAGAAAATCATCACTGCTTGCGACACGTACAAGACGCAAACTGCAGCTTTTCAAGAATCTGCTGATCAGAGGAAGACTTGTCCCGACTTCCTAACGGCCAAGTCCAGTTGGATGAGACGGCTTTCTCCTGTATGGGGGAGTTTGGATGAAGTTTGGATCATATGTAGTTGAAGCTTCAGTTGATGTTCAGGAAATCTGTTTTACCTTTTCTTGTAGAAGGTGAAGGATGAGCACGAGTCCGAAGACTCCGAAGAAGACGAGGGAGAGGAGGAGGAGGGCACGGAGTCGGATTTGGTAGGGTGTTCCTCCGATTCCTCAGGGTAACAGATAATACCCTGTCGGGTTCTGTGTTTCTGGAATGATCTCTTGACCGAGTCCGACCTGCCCGCCTCAGAGCTTCGAGTCCAGCCTGAAGAAGAAGCTGAAGAAGAAGTCCAAAGCAGACGGCGCCTGGCTCAGACCGTCCAGGAAGAGGAAACGAAGGATGGGCGCCAGAGGTGATCGGTCGACACTCACGCCACTCGCTGGTTGAAGCTCGGTCGCCGGTTCTGTGTCTTACTGTCGACTGTTTGCTTAGAACCGGAGACGGATGTTCTGCCGCAGACGTCGGGTCAGGAGTACACGGAGATCCTCCCGTCCGAGTGCATCGACCTCAGCAAGTCGTCACACAGCAACGGTGAGTTCAGAACCGGCAGGAGTCCAAATCAACTCCAGGAGCTTCGTGGAACTGAAGATGCTAAATGTTGGATCCTTCCTTCTTTGTCTCCTTCATTTCCTCATGTGTCCTTCCCTTCCTACCGTCCTTTATGTCCATCCTTCCTTCAACCCTTTTCTTTCCGTCTTTTACCTTTTATTCTTGTGCACTTCTTTTCCTCCTTGTTTCCTACCTTCGTTATCTGTCCTTGTATCTTCCATTTCTTGTCTTTCTTTTTGAATTGTCCCTCCTTTCTTCCTCCCTTGTCGTTTACGTGTACTCTATCTTTGCATTAATGACCTTTTAAAAGTGTTTTTGGGTCTCCTCCATCAGAACCAGGATCCAGTAAGAATGTGTCATCCCTCTCTCAGCCAGCAGAGGGCGCACTGTTCCCCATGAGCCACTGATTTAACACACTAACTGACAGAAATGAGAATTAGCCGTTTATCCTGAAGGATTCTGTGTTTTTTTTAATGCAGGAAGCAGCGATGGCGGCTGTAAAAGTTGGATGTTTTTTTTTAATAGTTTCTGTTCTGATGGTGTCCAGAACCTTCCGGGTCGGCCATCGAGGAGGCGCAGGAGCTGCCGCTCTGCAGCTGCCGCATGGAGACGCCGAAGAGCCGCGAGATCCTGATCTTGGCAGACAGGAAGTGCATGGCGACGGAGAGCGTGGACGGCCAGCTGACCCGCTGCCAGGGCGCCGTCCTGAAGCACGAGATGATGCGTCCGTCCAACTCGGTCCAGCTGCTGGTTCTGTGCGAGGACCACCGCAGCGGCATGGTGAAGCACCAGTGCTGCCCCGGCTGCGGCTTCTTCTGCAGAGCCGTGAGTTCAGGGGGACTGGGAGGGACTGGGAAGGACTGGGTGGGACTGAGATTATTCATTATTTGTGTGTTTTGTTTTTTTTTTTTTTTGTTTTTTGGAGCAGGGGACGTTCATGGAGTGCCAGCCGGACGTCAGCATCTCCCACCGTTTCCACCGGGCGTGCGCCTCGATGCTGAAGGGTCAGAGCTTCTGTCCGCACTGCGGGGAGGAGGCCGCCAAGGCCAAGGAGGTCACCATCGCCAAGGCCGACACCACCTCCACCGTTCCTCTGGCGCAGGCCAAGGGCCCAGCGACACCGGGGGCTCCAGAGGGCCGAGCAGACACAACGACCGGCAGGTCAGAGTTCAGCTGGACACCATTGTTCTAGGGGCTAAAGCTAAGCTAACAGAGATAAGCTAATGCAGCTAATCTAACAGAGATAAGCTAACAAAGTTAGGCTTGCTAAGCTAAAGAAGATGAGCTAACAATGTGAAGTTAACTAGGCTAAGCTAACAGTTGCAAAGATATGTAATCAAAGCTAAGCCTACAAAGCGAAGTCAATAAAGCTAAGCTAATAAAATTAAGCTAACAAAGCTAAGCTAATGACATTAAGCTAACAAAGCACCTATCAAAGATAAGTTATTAATGCTAACAAAGCTAAGCTAATGACGTTAAGCTAACAAAGCTAACCTATCAAAGATAAGTTATTAATGCTAACAAAGCTAAGCTAATCAGTGAGGATTGTTTCCTTCTGCAGCTCTTCCTGTTTGTCTCCTGTGGCTGAAGTCAGCGGCCGAGCCGACAGCTCGCTGTCCTCCCATCCCGCTCCGGACCTCGATGACCCGGCCGTCCCGGGGTCATCCCGCCAGGCGACTTTGCAGCCTGGAATCGGAACAATAGCGCCACCTATGCTGCCGTTAGGAACAACTAAAGAAACTCTAGAGAGTGTCCTGGTCGCCCTGGATACGGAGAAGTAAGCCGCTCTTCTTCTGCCGACGCTGCAGAGACACCGTGACCTGAGACCCGTTTCTTCTTCTCTTGTCAGACCCAAGAAGCTGCGATTTCACCCCAAACAGCTGTTCCTGTCGGCCAAACAGGGAGAGCTGAAGAAGGTGGTGCTCATGCTGGGTGGGTAGAGCTTCACTCAGCGCTCTGAAGGAGTCTGGTTCTGGTTCTGGTTCTGGTTCTGTTCTGTCTGATTATTTATTGATCTCAGAATTCTGACACTTTTCACAGAATTCTGGTTTTAACTTTAGAATCCTGATTTTAATCTGAGATTTTACTTGTTTCTCAGAATTCTGACTTTAATTTTTTTTCTCAAATTTATTTTTCTTAGAATTCCGATATTAACCTCAGAATTCCAAACTTTTTCTCAGAATTTTGTCTATTTTTTTCTCTGAATTCTTTTTTTAATTTTAGAATTCTGATTTTAATCTCAGAATTCTATTTCTCTTAGAATTATGAACTTTTTCTCAGAATTCTGGCGTCATACTCGCGACGCTCAGTTTTTTTGTTTGGGGATTTTTGTTGGTCTGTCTCAGATTCTCAAACAAATCCATTAAAGTTTGTGGCTGTGAAAAGACAAAATGTGGTGAAAAAGTTTAGCAGTTTTGACAGAAATTTTAAAAATAAATTTTCTAATATTTCTTTTGCTGAATTTTCTGCTTCCTTCTGTAAATTTGCGACTTTTCAAGCCTGAATGATTCATCAACATAAGGAACTGCAAGGAGAGGTTTTAAAAATCAGCAGAAAACTTGTTTTATTCAGGATTACTCTGTGTGGCTCCATGTTCTGTCAGGAATTTGACCGGCATGTTGTTGGTTTTTAGTGGATGGTACCGACCCAAACTTCAAGATGGACTCCCAGAACAAACGCACGCCGCTCCACGCCGCCGCTGAGGGAGGCTACGCCGACATCTGCCACATGCTGGTTCAGGTGGGGTAAACTCTCTGCTCTCGGTGGGCGATCCAAAGCCCGGTTCTGGTTCTGATTGTGTCCCGGTGCGGCTCGTCTTCAGGCCGGAGCGAACCTGGACATGTGCGACGAAGACCAGCGGACGCCGCTGATGGAGGCGTGTGAGAACAACCACATGGAGGTGGTGCTGTACCTGCTGCGGGCCGGAGCCAGCGCCATGCACAAGGTGGGTCCGCCACCAGAACATCCAGCATTCAGGGAAACGTTTGGGTCTGAACCGGGTTTCTGCTCCTCACAGGATGTTGAAGGGTTCACATGTCTCCACCTAGCGGCCAAGTCTGGTCATTACAACGTGGTGGAGCACCTTCTGACCACCGGGCTGGTGGACGTCAACTGTCAGGTGAGAGCAGCTCCAGTCTGCAGACCAGCATGGAGAACATGGAGGGAGGGCCACCTATTTAAAGAGACAGGTCACTATTTAAAGAGACAGGTCACCTAGTTAAAGGTCAGTTTGTTTATCCATCTGTCTGCTTTTATAATCCTCCATCTGTTTGTTTATCCATCCATCCATCCGTTTATTCTGTCGTTCATCCATCCATTGGCTTTTCTAACCATCTTTTTGTCCATCCATCTGTTCATTCATCCATTCACCCATCAATTTTTTTCCTATTTATCATCTTTCTGTCGTCGATCCAGCCCTTTCAGTCGTTTATCTTTGTCTTTCTTGTATTCAGATCGTTTTTAATCCTTCTCCCTTCTTTCCTTCCAGTCTGTCGTTTTCCAGGTTTCCTCTTTTATAGCCGCTCGGCTCCAGAAACTCAACCCATAAATCCATACTGATGTTTCTATTTGCTTTAAAAATAATCTGAGAAACAAGTAATCTTGAAAACTGGATTCTGGATTAGCAGGAATATTAAAACACGTTTTTGTTTGCAGATTTTAGTAAAATCTTCCAGCTCTCTTCCTTCAACTGAACCATTTTTTGTTGGAAATTTCAAAGTTCCTAATCGAGTATTTTCACTGCATGAAGGATTAATTCTCTGACTGATGGCTAGAGATGAAGAAATCAGGCTTTCCTTCCAGAAACGGATCTAATCTGGGGTTACTTCCTGTTCCTGCAGGATGACGGCGGTTGGACAGCCATGATCTGGGCCACAGAGTACAAACATGTGGACCAGGTGAAGCTGCTTCTGTCCAAAGGCGCCGACATCAGCATCAGGGATAAGGTCGGTCCGGGCCGGTTCTGGTTTTACTTTGTGTTCACACGGAAACTAAACAAACATTTTCTTTGCTCTTTTTTCCAGGAGAAAAACATCTGCCTTCACTGGGCGGCGTTTTCCGGCAGTGTGGAAATCTCCGAGGTTCTCCTGAACGCCCAGTGTGACCTCCAAGCCGTCAACGTCCACGGAGACTCTCCTCTGCACATCGCCGCGCGGGAAAACCGCCTGGACTGCGTCAAGTAAGCGACGACACAAAATAATGCTGCAGATAACGATTTAGTGAATTGGAACTGGGTGAAGTTGGGTTTTCCCAAAACTGGGCGTTTTATCAGAAACGTTTTTACAAACAAAGGTTTTTCTTTATCTTAAATGGAGAATGTATATATTTTTGTATATTTTTGGCTGAAATATTGCTCTGAATGTGTTTTTTTTCCGCCAAATGGACTTTTTTCGAGTCTGTACACTCACATTAATGATTAATTGATTATTGAATTAGTTGACGATTATTTCAATCATCGATTAATCATCAATTAATCGTTTAAACTCTAATCTCAAATCACTGATTTCTCCTCTGGACAGGGTTTGAATCACAAGGTTGTGGAAATTTTAGGAAAAGGAGTTCTAATAGTTAATAAATCAATGAGGGATGTCACTTGAGGAGATTTGGCTAAAACATATTTTCAGGAAAAGCTGTTTTTATTTTAATTGCAAAATATATTTATTTTTTGTAAATATATTTAAGGTTTGACTTAATTACTGTTCTGAATGTTTTTTTTTTCACCAAACTACCTTTTTTGAGTCTGTTTACCCCAGTTACTAAATTAGTAAAGCATTATTTCAATAATTGATTAATCATGATTAATCGTTGCAGCCCTGCTGACTTTCATGTTTTTAGCTGCAAATCATTTTTCATATTCCACAGAAACTCAACTGTCTCAAAACGAAGATAGAATGTGGAGGTCCTTTTTGTTTAAAACCAAAAACAATTATGTTTACTGATGATTAATCATGATTAATCCAATTAATCGTTTCAAACCAAAAGCAAAAATCCATCTCTGTAGTTTTAAAAGCAGCTGCAGAGCAGGGCGGTTGTGTGAAATCGGTGTTTGTCTCCTCAGACTGTTCTTGTCTCGAGGAGCTAATGTGTTTCTGAAGAACCGCGAGGGAGAGACTCCGCCGGACTGCTGCAGCCACAACTCCAAGGCCTGGGGCGCCTTGCATGCCCACAAGAGGGAGAGGGACGCCAAAAACGGCCGGCTCAGGCGGACCGAAGAGAAACTGCTTCACAGGTTGGGTTATGATGCTGTTCGCTCACCAGTAAGACAGAAAAATCAGCTTTCAGAGAGGAAACATGGTGTGTTTGTGTCCGCAGTGACATATCTTTAGGCCAGGAGCAAGTTTCCATTCCCTGTGTGAACTCTGTGGACAGCGAGCCGATCCCAGACGACTACAAATACATCACAGAAAACTGCGTCACGTCCCCCATGAACATCGACCGGAACATCACACACCTGCAGGTGGTTTACGGTCTTCTGGTGTTTCAGAGTAAATAAAGAGTTCAGCAGAGTTACTAACTGATGTTTGTGTCTGTTTCTCCTCGCAGTACTGTGTTTGTAAAGAAGACTGTTCTACTAGTATTTGCATGTGTGGACAGCTGAGTCTGCGCCGCTGGTACGACAAGGTGAGGACAAGCATGTTCTGGAAAAACTCTCGTTTCTGTCAGGTGTCCTTCAAGCAGCAAGAATCCCTTAAAGTGGTTCTGATCGGGACAGCCGGGCGTTTTAAACTTTCTGTTTGGACTTTGGCTGCTTGCCGTCTCTGGACTGGTTCATCCCAGAGGTTCTTTTGGACCAGACCAGTAAAGTTCTTCACTCAGCCGAGTGTTTAGGGACTTTGTGTCTCAGTATGTCACTGACGGATGTGGTGTCTTTATAAAAGCACAGTTTGCTTTCTTGATGAAGACTAGAGTTAGCCTATTGAATGCTAACCTCAGAGTATCTGTGCTAACAAACGGACAGCAGAGCACAGAAATGGACGATCCAGTGGGTGACACGGCTAGACATGCTAGCTGTTAGCTTTATCCAGTGAGGATTCATCCCTATCCAAGGCTAATGCTAACAATGTAATGCTAATGCCCATGTATTTGTGCTAATGGACAGAAGATGCAGTGGCAATCCAGTGCATGACCTGACTCGGCATGCTAACTGTTAGCCTACCCAAGGCTGATGTTGGCTAGTCAATGCTAACACCAGCCTAACTATGCTAATGGGCAGAAGATGCAGTAATCAATCCAGTGGGCCACAAGCCTAGACTTGCTTGTTGTTAACCTATTCAGGGCTAATGCTAGCCTAGCCAATGATAACCCTAGTCTAGCCTAGCCAGTGCTAATGCTAATAGCCTATGTGTGTTAATTCCTCTCATTGATGCCCTTAGTAATCTTCAGAAAACCTGAAAAACTTCTGATTTAGACCATCTTAGCAGACACAAACAGGTTGCTTGGCAGAAAAACGTTAAATTAGTTGAGTTTTCAAAGTTTTTTTTACAGTGATGCACATCACCAGCTTCATTTCTTCCTCTCCTGTGTCTCTGGGTGAGCAGAGCGGCTGCCTGCTGCCTGAGTTTTGCCGTGAGGAGCCGCCGCTGATCTTTGAGTGCAACCACGCGTGTTCCTGCTGGAGGACCTGCAAGAACCGCGTCGTACAAAACGGGCTCAGGTAACTCCAGAGAGTCCCAACGTGCTCGGATAAAATCCTCGTAAAGTTGTTTTGATTTTCAGGAAGAGAGGAACTGTTGTGATTAAATGTTTTTAACTCTGTAGGGTCAGACTCCAGGTTTTCAGAACCGGTAATAAAGGCTGGGGAGTCCGAACTCTGCAGGATATTCCACAGGGGAGCTTTGTGTGCGAGTGAGTTTGATGCAACATAAAAATGTTGGATGTGGTAAAAACTTACAGCTGCACTGACACAAGCAGGCCACTAGGTGGAGATGAAGTTACATCTCACTGGAATCAGATCCCAACTGTGTGATTTTGTTTCACCATGAATTAATAATTTAAAGAAACTGGGAACACTGGGAGCTTCTTGAATCTTAAAAACACCAGCTTCACTTTCCAAATTAGAGCTGACTATTAGTCTAGTACTTGATTAATTGAGCAGTTATGGTGACGATTAATTGATCAATCGGGTAAAAGAAACGACATTCTGCAGATTTTTCATTTAACTATTGAAGCATTTTTGGGCAAAATTAGAAAAGCATAAAGGATGCAAATAAACTAATAATTCATTTCATTAAAGCTGCACTTTACTACCTGATTTTGGGATTTTTTCCAGCCTCATGAATATCAAAGTCAGTAATTTATCTTGTTTTATGTGTTATAACTGTGAAAATTACTTCTATTTCTAAATGACGTATTAATTTATCCATAAATGTCTTCAGGATCAGAAGTTAGCACACATGTCCTCAGTATTTGGTAACATTGCTTTTGATGTAGGGCTGAAACGATTAGTAAATCAATAATTTTGACAATTAATCGATTAATCGTTTAAAAAATTACCTATTCTTTAACCTCTTAAGCCTTTTTATACAACATTAGAAATACATTAAAACTGTATGTAAATAAATAATTCAACTCCTTTTTGTTTAATAAAATGAACATTTTTGTTGCCTAAAATCCAAAACTTTCTGGATGTGGACCAGGTGAAGCTAAAACGATACAACTCAACGAGTTTTGGCTAAAAAATATTTACAAACAAATGTGTTTTTATCCTAAATGCAAATTATGTATATTTTTGTACAGTTTTGGCTTAACTACTGTTTTGAATATATATTTTTAGTTTTTATACTCCAAGTAACAATTAATATATTAGTAAATTAGTTGACAATTATTTTAATAATCGATTAATCATTTAATCAGTATTTCAAATATATGGATTATGAGCGATTTTGTTGAAGATAAAACACAATGAGTTAATGTGGTTAAATAACGACCCTGAACTTCTTTAGTTTTTGTTTCCTTCCTTCCTAAATAATAATAATAATAATATTTGATGATGTTATTTTTCTTTATTTAACTGCAGAACGTTTCTTCCTCTGATTTCCAACAGGTACGTTGGTGAGATCATCTCTGAAGGTGAAGCCGATACGAGACAGAACGATGCTTACCTGTTCAGCCTGGACGATAAGGTGAATCTAACAAGAAAATCCATTTTAAATTCATGATTATTCTCCATTTATCACATTAAATCCAGTTAAATTCCATTAAACCTGAGTGAAACGTGCCTCTGAAAGCCGCTGCGTTTCTCCTCCTTCAAAGCCTTTCTGTGTTTTTATTTCCAGCCTGAAGATCAGTACTGCATCGATGCCCGTTTCTATGGCAACATCAGCCGCTTCCTGAACCACATGTGTGAGCCCAACCTGTTCGCCTGTCGGGTTTTCACCACACACCAGGACCTGCGGTTCCCACACATCGCCTTCTTCGCCAGCGAGAACGTCAAGGCCGGGGAAGAGCTCGGGTAAAACTACTTCCTGTCAGAATAAAACTACTTCCTGTCAGAATTTAACTTTTAATCCATAAAACCGTCGGTTCTGATGCAGAAGCAGCCGAGTCGCTTTAGTGGAGCTTCAAGACACAAACCAGGGTCATTTCTGTTGAAACGGCCAGAAAATTAAAAGTGACATAATTAAAATGAATAAATGCAAAAATGGAGGAAAATTAATAAGTAAAAAATGAATTAATAATTTGAAAATCATGAATTAAATAAATAAAATAAAAGTAAACAGATTTTTAAAAGTTCAGCAATAATTAAAAATAAATGAATTAAATAATTAAAACACAATAAAATAAAAATAAATTAAAAAGTTAAACAATAATTCTTTAAAAATAAATTAATTCTGCAGCATTTTTCCAAAGTTGTCACAATTTTGTTTGCAATATTTTATTTTGCAAAATTAACCAACTAATTGGTTAATTTTGAATAAATTTTTAAGCAATGCTAATTCAAGATGAATAAATTTTGGAGCGTTTTATTGTGAAGCTGCTGCATTTTTTGGCAGATTTTTGTCTGCAGTCGCAGCATTTTGTCTGTCGTGGGATAAATTAAGGCGCCTCATAAATACATTTTAAATACACCTGGCAAATATCTATTTTATTTACTTATTTTCTGCAGCATTTCTTGTTCGTGTTGTTTTATCAGTAATTGCATCATTATTTTCTGCTGCTGTAACATTTCGGATAAATTCAAGCAAATAATAAATCAGTTTTAAATACTCTTGGCATGTATTTATTTTATTTATTTTCAGCTGCTGTGACATTTTTTGTTTGCAGATTTTTGTCTGTTTGCAGCATTTCTTTTTTTTTTTACAGTTGCAGCATTTTTTATTTGCACTGTTCTGTCTGCAGTATTTTTTTGTTAGTTTTTAGCTTCTCTTTTTTATTGTCACGGTTGCATTTGTTTACATTTTATTTTGGAGTTTGCGTCCTTCCTGTGTTCGCTCCCCTGTCGTCCGCCATCTTGTCGTCCTGCTTCCTGCCGCCTGGCGGGTCCCGCTCTGCTCCGTTTCTCCTGATCTGTTTTCTTCTTCTGCTGTTTTCCAGGTTTAACTACGGCGACCACTTCTGGGAAGTCAAGGCCAAGCTGTTCAGCTGCGAATGCGGCTCCTCCAAGTGTAAGTACTCGTCGGTTGCCATGGCGACAACGCCCGAGGACCAGCAGCAGCCCAGCGCGCTGCCCGACACCAGCTCTTCCAGCGGCGCCTCCTAGAGGCCGCGCCGGGCCTCTGAGCGAATCGTACTGTATCTCCGCCGTTGCCAGGGACTGTTCTTCTACAAACTGAAAAACTTTGAGCTCCAGATGCACAAACCGAACCCTGGACCCGATTCTCGACTTCATCATGTGTCGTGTGGAAACGAAGAGGGACAACAAAACACTCTGTCCTGCAGCAGAACGTTTGCTGGAAGGAAAAACTGTACTTTTGTTTGTTTTTTGTTTTAATATTCTGAATTATTGTGACTGAGAAATCTGGGAACTATTTCTGTTTTTTCCTTTTTTTTAAGGTGTGACAACCATGAACTACGACGGAGTATTAAGGCCACAAAAAGAAAATAAATAAATGTATAAAATTACAAAAAGTCTTAAAAGAATTAGATCATAATATTACAAGAATAAAGTAAAAACAATACAAGGAAAAAACTTAGTTTTACAAGAATAAAGTTTAAATATTTTGACTTTACTCTTGTAATACCACATTTTATTCTTGTATTATTTTGACTTTTTTTCATAGTTTTACATTTTTCTTGTAAACCTACAACTTTAATCCTGTAAAATTATGATTTTAATCTCATGACTTTATTCCCAAGAACAAATCTGACTTTATTCTTGTAATATTACGACTTTATTCGTAATTTTATCGTATGCCTGATTTCATTCTCTCAACGTTTTGACTTTATTCTGATAAAACTCTGACTTTCTTCTGTAGTTTTTTTTTCTTGTCGCCTTCGTTCTCCGCCGTGTCGAATCATTCCAGCGACACTCAGACGATTATTGATTCCCGTTTCTTCGTTCTCGCCTCGTTGAAAAGCTGAAAACTCGAAGCTTCTCCATGAGCTCAGATTAGTTTCCAAACATAAATTTTACTTTTTTTTATTTTTAAACTAATATTTTCCGGAGCGGCTGAGGAATATATTTAGTCATTTTAAAAGAAGACAGAGCAGAACCCACAGGAAACTGGTGCTGACAGGTTTTTATGTTCGTTCTCATTTTTATTATCCAAGTGAACATAGTTTGTAAAATAAGAGAATGTTTTTACTTTTTTTTAACGTTTAATTTTATCCCGTTTTCTAATCATAGTCAGATTTTAATTTCCGGTCATGATTTTTTTATTTTTATTTTTTTCTTCACAGAAGTCTTTTGTGCAAAGTTGAATAAATTGGGAAAATGTCGGATAAATTGCACTTCCATTAACTTGTTACATATTTCTGGACTGTGAACCATCCGTCTGATTGGTTGTATCTTTTTCAATAAATTTATTATCAATGATTGATTGATTCTTCACTCCATGGAAACAAAACAACAAAAATAGTCTCCATGTTGGTTAAAACGATTTATGGACTTTTATTTTGAAGCTTTAGTTTGCAGGAAGTCGAGGATGATTCCATGCAGCCTGGAAAAGTTTGGAATCGGATTCCAGGATCTGCCAGGTCCTTCTTTCTCGTCTTTTATTGCTTTTTCTCATCCCTCCTTCTCCACCGATGTAAACATATTTCCTTCTTTCTTTCCATCATTTTTGCCTTCCTTCCTCATTTCCTTTCTTCCTTCCTTATTTCTTTTTCTTGTTTTTCTTTGTTCTTTCCATCATCACTTCTTCTCTTCCTTTTTTAATAGGTTTCTTTCAGTTTCTCCCTCTTTCCTTCCTTCTATTCCTTGTTTTCTACATTCCTTATTTTGTTTTTATTCCTTATTCCTTTCCTTCCTTGTTTCCTTTTTCCTTTTGTCCCTTCTGTTTTTTCTTTCTTTCTTCTTTCCATCATTTTTGTCTTCCTTCTTTTCTTTCATTTAATCCTTTCTTCCTTGTTTCTTTCCTTCTTGTTTTTCTTCATTTCTTTAATTCCTTCTCTTGTCTCCTTAATTTTTCTTCTTTTTATTTCTCAGTTGTTCCTTCTTTCTTTTCTTCTGTTATTTCTTTTTCCTCCTTCCTTTCTAGTTTCCTTTCCCCTTTTGCTTCTTATTTTTCTTCTTTCTCTTTTCCTTTTTCTTGTTCCTTCTCTTGTTTCATTCCTTCATTCCTTACTTTTTTCTTCCTTCTTTCTTTATTTCCATCAATCATTCTTTCCTTCATTCTTTTATTTCTTTCTATTTTCTTGTCTTCCTTCCTTGTTTGTTTCCTTTTCTTTCCTTTTTTGTAAGCTGTTCTTTTCTGTCCTCCCATATTCACTCTAAAACGTGTTTTTGGGCTGCAGTTCATCTTATGGACTTATTTACATTAATTTCACTTAATTCTTTTGCTTTTGCTATGACA